CTGCGCATGTGCCCACCTCCCAGCTAATCAGGGTGATCCGTTGGGAGGCCAGGTGCCTGGGCTCAGCAATCAGCTGAACTTGGAAGACTGCACTGCAACAGCGCTGATGCGACAGGACAAGATAGCCCCCCACCCCACCTCAAAATCCGGCAGGAACCCAAACCAAACTGGTTTGCGGTTCGGTTTTCCAGTTTGTTAGCGGTGGTTCACAGCTAACCACAAACCACTATTTTTTTCAGATTCATACCCATCGCTACTTAACGATTCACTGAGCCCGAATACAACTCCCAGCACCTGCCCTTTCAGCACATTGCCATCGCTGGGCTTCTTCACCTTTTCTCCACCTGGTGGCCCCCCAGAGATGCTGCACTACTACCCTCATCATCTCCAGCTGAAAAGTGTGAGACTTGTAGGCTGGCAGCTCACGCGAGCCTCACCTTGGCCCTTGGAACTCAGGGATGCGCAACAGGCGTCCCCTCCCATCATCCCCACATATGATAATGACAAAGCAGGTGATTTTTCCTCCTCGCCTCTCGCTATTTGGATTCCTCCTCCTCCTCTTTGACGCTTGCCTTCCTAGCGCGGGGCCGGCAGAGCGAAGCCTCCACCGCTGCCTGCAAGGCCGCCTCTGGGCTCGAGGTGGCGCCCTTCTCTTTTTTCCTCTTCCTTCTCCGTCCCAGTTCCAATCGTCTCCGACCCAACTCCGGGACAGGATTGCAGGGGAAAGCCGGAGGCTTGGACTGGACTTGTTGATCTCCGTTGATAAGAAGCAAAAAAGGGAGAAAGGCGAGGTCGTGGCGGGGGGTTGGAGGAGAGGGGCCCGGTTTCTTCCATGGCTGCCCGGTCTTATTCCGGAGGGGCCCGTTTTGGCTGATTTGAAGGTGGAGCTTGGGAATTAAAAATTGACAGAGGAGAGAGAGAGAGAGAGAGACGCTGGAAACACTGAGCTCTCCATGCGAGGATCGTGGAGAAGAAGCGCCTTGCCAAAAAAATAAAAATTAAAAAAACCAAACCACTCAAGCCAACCAACAACACTGCTCTTCGAGAATAATCTGCAGTGTGGGTCTACCTAGGCTTTGGGAGCGTGGGTCTTCTCGGCCTCCCGTTATAACGGCGGGTGGTTCGGCCATCCTGGAATTTCGTTCCTGATCTCCCCCCCTCGCGCGCCCCTCCGCCGTTGCTTGAGACGAAGGATGC